AAGGTTTCAGGTTGAAGGAAAACAGTGAGTGAAGTTGGCTTTCCAGGTATTCAAGGGAGAGGAGAATATAAGCATTCCCATTACAGTGGAAGGCAGAAAGAGAGTAAAGAGTGTTATCAGTGAGAGACACCTGGATAATCTGGAAACTGTAGCCAATGAAGGGCTACTTGGGGACATGTCTTAAGTTTTAGTGGATGCTGGTGAAGAGACACAGAGTGGTAATTAGATACCTGTTGATGTTAAATGTATTGAACTCTGTATGACGTTAAAAGAAGAAAAGCAAAGTGATGCAGTAGACTTAGAAATTCAGAAGACGACAGCTCAGCCAGTAGAATGCTAACAGCACAGTACAGGAACTGAAAATAGACTTTCTGCATAGTTTGCTCAAATCTACCTGTTTTTCTAATACAGTATTTTTATAAGCATCTGTTGTCGTTTAGCCCCAGCCGGCAACTAAGTACTAGACAGCCGCTCGCTCGCCCCTCCCCTTCCCCCCCAGCAGGATGGGGAGGAGAATGGACAGAAGGGAAAACTCTTGGTCTGCGATGTTTAATAAGACAACAAAGTAAATACTAATAATAATGAATATGCAAAACAAACTGTATACAATACAATTTTCCCACCCCCGGATGCCCGATTCGCAGCCAGTCCCCGAGCAGCGATCACAGAACCTGCAGGTTTCCCAGAGCTCATGAATTTCACATAAATCACCAAACTCATGGGAAAAAGACTGAACTGCTGGACAAGACAGGATTCGAACTCACTGAAAAGAGAGAGAGAACCCTGCCTCCCGGCCAAGCCCCATTTATAAACTGAGTATGACATCCATGGCATGGAATATTTCCATTGGCCAGCTTGGCTGTCTGTCTGTCTGTGCCCCCGCCCAGCTCCCGCCCACCTGCTCATTAGCTGAACATGGCAGACTGGAGAACGCCCTTGATTTCTTAGCAACAGCTAAAACCATCGGGGTTATCAACGCTGCTCTTGTACTAAATCCAAAACACAGCAGCTACCGGGAGGAAAATTCACTCTATCCCAGACAAAGCCAGGAAAACATCTAATGTAAAAAATATTTAGTGTATTCTACTTGATGGGGTTTTTTTCACAGCTGAAAGAACAAAGCTTATGTTTTCAAAAGTGATTAATGAATCAAATGCATTCATGTTTGGGTACCTATCTTGAAACCTCTTTAAAAAGCTGCTTTAATTTTTAGAAATACTAAATAGCAGGTTTCTTTAGGATGTCTCATTCAGGACAGCATATATGGCAGGGTAGAGAGGAATGCTATTGAGTTGGCATGCTTTTACAGAATTTCATTTTATCAGCCCTACAGAAAGTCACCCAAATGATACATGAAGAGGTGTCAAAAGATGTCCATAAACAAGAAAAGACGGTTAAGAAGACTGGACTGCAGCGGTACGTTACCTGATGGGTTTGTGAATGACTAGGAGAAGCCACTCATCAGGACAGAGCTTATGATTTTTGGGGTTTTTTTTTTGGTTTGGGGGGTTTTTTTCTTTATTTTTTTTTTGGCCCCCCCCCTTCCCTGAACAACTGAATTCAGCATTCAGTGAATTCATATGACATTTTTTAGCACGGGTGGCAGAATAGCCCATTTTACTGCTGTGCAAGCAGCATGTATTTTCTGGAAAATAACCTATGAATCTTGCCGTTGCAAACACAAGATATCTTATGCTCCAGCAGCTTTGTAGAAAAAGCGATGATCTGTCTTACTCCTGTAGAATTGTTTCTGTTTCTACCATTGCATTTTTCAGTAGTCTCTCTATAAGATTTCCAGCCAAGCTTACATGAGATGTGTTCCCCCATTACTCAGTTCTGTGGTGGTTCTACAGCTGTGAGATCAACATGACAAACCGTTCTTACAATTAGACTTTGCTGAAATATTTTTTCCTTGAGTTGAGGTCAATAGAAATAAATTTTGTACCTGGATAGCTTCAGCAAGTCTGTATATTTAAGAATATTTTATCAGCACCTGTAGAATTTTTCATATTCTGGAGAAGGCATACTGTACACTATTATAAACTTTGTTGTGTCTTATAGTTTGTTTCCAGTGGCTCAGAAGAACTGTAGAGTAAACAAGCCATTCGTTAAGGACCAAGAGAGTATAGCATCAAGGAAGCAGAGGCCCAGAAGGCAGGGCTAAGGGTACAAATCTGTTTTTGAAGCACATCGTGTGCTGAATCAACTCAGCTCTATGTATGGAAAGCATTTGGCATGCAGATGTCAGAGAGCATTTTACTCCATGAGACCAGAGCAGGCCAGTGAAACCTTGCAGCATTTAGTACATCTCAATGCAACACAAAGGCACTTTCCTGGAAGGAGGTGACTGGAATGAAAGATGGTAAAAATCCAAATTTAGTATCATTCACAATTTTTTTTTTTTAAATTCATTGAATTCTGTCATAAATTTGACAAATTAAAAAAAACTGTAAATGATACTAGATTTGGATTTTTGCTGAGAATAAGAAGATCTCAGAATTTATGTGGGCTCACATCGCTGTATGTTCTGAGCAACACAGGTGCTTATAGCAAAATGGTTACCACAAGATGTTAATTCCAGTTTTCTGTGTTGTTGCAGCTGCCATATTGGCTCTTTCATTAAAAGCAAATCTAACTTGTGTGCCAATATGTGGCAGAAGTTCACAGCAGTACATGAAGCAGCAGCTTGTTGTTGACATGATACTCTAGAGAGCCTTGAGAGGCAGGAAGAGACTGTTTTCTGTATGCTATTAAAACACTACACACCTTGCTTCTGACCAGATTTAGGACTTGTCTTCAGGCCTTTGAAAGATGCGTTTATATGGATTGACATTAAAATAAGAATATAAGGGTGACGATAGAAAGTTTTATGACGGACTGTACAAAAAAATACATTACAGGTTAAATATTTATAGCAGTGTTCTGGGATATTTCTGAATTACTTCTCTGGAAATAGTTTTGCTAAAAGCATTGAATATATTTACTTTGGATATCGTAGTCCTTTTCACCCAAAGGCAGAATAATAAATTCAGTCCACGTACAGTCTGTATGGCTGTCTTATGTTTTCAGTTCAGAGATCACTGTATTGTTCTTCAACATTATTTTGACTCCTCTCATAGCAGCTGTTGCAATGTCCTCTCTCAAGGCCTTTTCCCAGATTAGAGACACTTCTGCCTTGTTGGCCAGCCGAAGCCTGTCATCCATTTCCTTTCACCCAGAAACATTTGTCTGTGATGTTTGTGCAAATTCTTTTGTCTCAGTAAGCATCAGACCTGAAATCTTTCTCTACATTGCTGTTCTGAAAGGTGTTATATGCACAGTTTTCTTTCCCCCTCACTTCCTCCTTTTTTCCAGTCTTCCGTTCCATTTTGTACTTAGATTTTTTTTGTTCCCCAAGTCTTCTTTATCTGGAACTGGGTCCTTCTTTTCTTCCCTGAGCAGCTGGTGTGACTGCATAAGGAACTAATCATTCCTGCATCCTGCAGTATGGAAGGACAAGTCAGATGGAACCTTACTACTTGGAGCTGTGTTACAGCCGCACAAGTGTATTCTATGTGAATAGCATTTGGAGATGAAACCTCAGTTTGGCAGGATATAGTACACGTGATTTATTGGAAAGAAAAGTGGATGTTTATTTTTGTTATAACAAAGTAGTACTTTTTGTAGGAATGCACACGAGCCCAATATCTGGGTTGAAATTCTAGCTCAGGTCAGTCTTTTCCACCTCTCTGCTGTTGTATTTTAAATGATATTTTACCCTAAATCACTGTGCAGTATTCTGTTCGGTTTTAAGCAGTGGATACCCGATAGAAAGCGGAAGTGGAATTTCAGTTTAAATGTTTTGATTCTGAAGTGTGTTTCTTACCTACAGCCTAGAGTGTATATAAAACATTAACTCTTTTTAATATGTTTGTAAAAATATGAATGTATACAGAACAGTGCAAGAGCAAAGATTATTAGTGAGTGTCCACAGACTGAACATTTAATGTGTTCTTCACAATCATTGTTTTCTGCCTTCCTTAATATCTTCCTAGTTAACTATGCAGAAGTATGGTAATGCATAAAACACAGCTTTAACTTTTAAGGCTTTTTTGTAGGAGGCAGGAAGAGCGATGTTGTCAAAAATTCCAGGCTTTGAAACAACTGAAGTATTCCAGAAAAGACATGGAAAGGTTAAGACAGCTGGGCGTGAGACCTGAAAGAGAACGTGATGAAGATGGACCAAAGTGGTAAGGAGGCACAGCAACTCTCAGTTCAGATGAAATGGTCAGGGTCCCAGAGTTCTGTCTTCAGTACAAAAAGCTTTTTTTCCTCTTCATTTTTTCTCCTCAAAGCAAAGTATAACTAGAAACCATTGAATCTGTTGCTGGAAATGCAGGCTTTTCAGACTGATAGCAAGAAAAGTACAGATGTGATCTCTAGGAACCGATCTCAGCCTGCTCATCAAATAGGTTAATTGGAAACGGTAAGAAGGGATTAGGAAGAGTTCCTTACCAGTCATATTGGGCAAAAAGCACTCAGTCCTTGCATTCAAACACCCTCCCCAGCACAGACCTTTACAGCTGACTACTTCTGTCACACTGTACCCCAAAGATGAGAGATATTGTCTAAATGTACATGGGTTAGTTTCACAGCTTCTTACTGAACTGAACATTCGCAGTACTAAAACTGATGGCAAAGGAGACTTTGACTCTAGCTGTCCATCCATGTTAAAAAGAAAAATATATCCCTGCCAATGTTTATGAACTGCACATAGATAATATTGCAACAATTACAAGGGCAAGTAGAGCAATCACCTAAATGCTTCCTAGTATAGCAATTCTGCAGATGACTAGTGTTTTACGTTTGAAAGGATATTAGCTGTATCCAGTGATCAGCTTCCAGATACACACCAGAAATAGCCTACCAGAATACCTCAGCAAGCTCACAGCGTGTTCTCTACTGCCCTGTCCATGAAAACTCCTTGGATGCGAGATTACAGAATATGCAAGCTGCATGGAATGTTTTTTTCTCAGCCTGTCCTCTTCTGCTCTCGTTGCTAGTAAGCCTTCTGTCCTTTATAATATGAGATAATGAAAAGTCCATTTCTAATCTCAGGTCTGAAATGCAGGTGGCCCAGGACATATCGGGAACACATCAGTTATGCATTAATGAATAAACCTAGTCTTGGCCTGTCTAGCAGAATTCTGATTTTAATTGTCAAACATACATGCTCCAGCTGTCCCCCAAATTTAAGATTTGACATGTAAATAAGCCCTGAAACTGGAGTGGATGTGGTTTTGCTTCTATACTTACTGTTCTGCTGGAAGAAGCCTTAATTTGGACAAAGCTCTGTGAGTATAGAGGAGACTATCCTGGCAGGGCCTTTTACTTTTCCCCTTATGCAAGAATAGTTCTACAAGTCCGCTGTTCTATGAAAATGGTGCTTCCATAGTGAGGAGGCTCTCTTGCTGTGACTGTGCCAGCATAGTTAGACAAGTGCAGCTTTCCATGCCAGGGCCTGTTCTGCAAAGTGCGATCCGTATGGGGTATGAAGAATGAAATCTCTCACAAGGCTGGTCAACCGCCTTCTGGAGACACAAGTCACAACAGAGAAACTGCTTTCACCATACCACTTGTTTCGTTTACAGTAGGGCTGGTTTTTCCCATACTCTTGCAAACACTGCCTTGCCAAGAAAGCTGAAGTGCAGTACGAACACTTTACTGGTATATGCTGTCAGTCTGGTTGTCTTATCTCTCTCATGAAGGTGAGGAAAAAACAAAAATATTATCAAATGAGCAGTGTGATATAAGAGTACACTAAACATAGCTTCCTTTCTCAAATGAAGTATCTTCATGCACAGATGGGTTATAAAAGGCCAGTGTGTGACACAATTACGGTAACCTGGATAGTCCAGCCAGTGATAATGAGGAGTTGGCTATACAGCCATACCTGTACCAGCAGTGTACTACTGAGCGTAGAACTGGCCCTAGTGAAGACAAGAACCTACGTGTTTCCCTTTTTACTGGTTTAAGGAAGAAATTCCTTACCCCTCTCCCATTGTCCCAGTAACATGTATCCTAAACTGGAGGGAGGCAGCACTTCTGCTTATCTGTTGCCAGATCCTCAGCCCTTTTCAATGAAAGCCACAGCACACCCCAATCATGTACAGCCTAGAAAGGAACATCAGTCTCCAGGACTGTCAAAGCAGCACTGCAGAATTTATACAGAACATTAAAAAAAAAAAAAGGCAGTCTTTTCACAAGAGTTTTACTTTTATTGTAATGTGTAATTCTGCTTCTGAATCTCTATATTCAGAGTGAAATGGTAAAGACTGCATGTTACAGTGCACTTACATCAGTGAGATTTATGTCAGCATACAGAGAGAGGAGAATGATGATAGCACAGGGAAAAGGGATGGTGAAGAGAATCAGAAAGTGTGTCAGATCAGGCACTGACTGCACTGGAAAATCTGTAGAGGCTAAACAAAATAAATAGAGAAAAGATGAAGAGGACAAATTTGTAGTAAAATGGAAACATTTGTTAGGTTTTTATTATTTCCTTTCATACCCAAGTTTGTTATCCAAAATTTAAATGAACAATGAAGAATCATCTATTTCAATGCCCTGCAAAGGGAATTGGTGCACAAGTCCAATAAAGTAAAGCTGTTTCACATTATTCACTTGGAATTACACTGGGTATTGCATTCCCCAAAGAGCCATTTTTTCTGTGGAAGTTACGGAGGTGGTGAAGTGGCAGAAATGCCAGGCAAACCCAGAGTTATTAATCAGATACGCATTTGTTCCCATGGCTTCTCTTTTATTGCTGTTCTTCTTTCTGCTAAAGGTTTCCTGTATTGCTTGCCAGACTCCCAGAGTCTGTGAAGAGTGACCATTATGTACAGAAAATCTTAAAGAAACTGGAAAAATACGACAAGACTCGTGACTTGAAAATTCATCCAGACACCTTTCTTAAGGCCCTGGCTAATCTACAGGTGTGGGAGCTGTGTTCTCCAGAAATTGCTGCAGCTGTGGAGGTGAGATGAGTTCAGTTCTTGATTTCCTCTGGGATGAGGGTGGGGAGAGCAGGCACCTATGGGTGCAATTCATGCAGTGGAAAGTTACCAGATGAAATAATTTAGGATCTCACTAAATGAAGATTCTACTCTTCACCTTTTACAAGGCACTTTGAACTCCGCAGAAGAAAGACATTATGACAAGCATTGGATTATTAATCAGTATCATTTTATTATTACCTCATTGTGGATTTATACAGTGAAAGAGACATCTGTCATAGATTGTTAGGACACCTGAAGAGAAACATTAACTTCTTGTGCCCTGAAAAGGCCTGTCATTCCCAGTAGTTATATCCATGAGCTATTCAAGTAATGTATTACGTCACTGATCCAGGAACTCTGCAGGTATCTTCGTCATCTTCAGCAACGTTAAAAAAAGAAAAATCTGCTTCTCAAGATCTTAAGTTGGGCTCAACTTTTGTAGTTCTAGAAGCAATTGACAGAAGAGAAAGGACCCAAGAAAGGAAAGGGAGTACATTTAGCATGTATACCAGTATGTAGCCTAACCAGGTAGCTAACTTACAAACAATGGCAATGGTGCCACCTTCTGTTTTTTGTTCTCATCACAGTTATCTCTCCTAGTCTACAAGATCGACAGAAATCTCGGAGAGGCAGCAGGTTACTGTGCATCTTACATATATTAGCACCCAACATGTTGAGATCAGACTACCTGTATTTTCTTGATGTCTTACAAAAATAGTCATTTTGTGTGTGCCTAATTTGCATATCCACTAACCAGAGAGGCAGCTTTGTCTTAATGTTCAATATATAAGTCTCTGTTGCTTGCTGGTTTTAGATCTATTTCTTTGCTGTTTCCATTCTGTTCCCTGTGTATTTTGATTCCTCATATTAGTGCAACAGTGACAGAACAAAACACGTGAGCGTAGCTGAATCTGCTGTCTCCTTATTTATACGTCTTTCAAAAATAGCCGCAGAGGAAGGAGGGCCTTGGTGCTTCTTCTGACTGGAATAGACAAAGAAAACTGTCACATTTTAGGAGCAAGAAGAGTATTACTGAATGTGACCTGTCTGATACTGACAGAGATTCCACATGAAGTTCTTATTTAACTTCAAGTTTCTTTAATGTATGTACTGCAACAGTAGGTAGAAGACAGCTGCAAGTTTAAAACACATAGACTTGACTTGGAAGGATTCAGGACATAAATTGCAATGAAGATTGTAGAGTTTTCCTTTTAACTCATTTTAGAGCATATCCAGTTGTTCTGGAAGTTGTATTAAAAATGTTTTGGTGATATAAAGCACTATAACTGTTTGTAGAAACCATTACATTTATTCTGTTGTCACAGTGGTGAAATTTTTCCGTGTTATCTCTCTCTCTCTCTCTTACACATAAATCAAAATCTGAGGAAATAACTTTTTTTTTTGTTTTGTTTCAGTTTGTACGTGAAAGTGTTGTGCAGATGCCAGAAGAGGATTTCAGCGAGTGGTTTCAGGAAAGAGTAGACCCCTCAGTGCACAGTCCTCCACCTCTTAATCCAGCGGCCACATGAGATGATTTTCCAGCCACAACTTCAAGCAGAAAACTACTGCCTGTTGAGATCTGCCTCAAAGACGACTAGGGGAGAGGAGTTAACTCCAGGAAGTCCCACGGACCACTCTTTCACAACTGAAATTTGTCCCTCTACAGTGCTCTGCTGGCTGTAGTCGGCCACAGAAAATAAAATCTAAATACTGTTGCTCTTTTCTGTATGATGTCTTGGACCCACTGTCAAATTTCAACCTCATCTAACCATGTAGGTTGTAGACTGAGTTTCTAATCACTGATCGGGTCATTTCTACAGACATTCCTCTAACAATACCTACAGTATAACAAGCATCTACTTAGTACAGATATACTGATTTCCATATCTAAATAGCATTGGCTCTGTTTGCTCTTCGTTTTAGCTCTTTATAAAAAATATCCCAAGCACAGGGTAGTTGTAAGGTTTAAGACAATTCTTTTTTGCATTAATTCTTTATTGTAATTCAGATATCTGATTTTTGCATTGATTTTATTCTGTAGTTATTTTGTGTTTATGGATTAATTCTTGCCTTATTAAAATCAGTACTGAAAAACCAAGCATCCTTAGATGCATTTCCCAGGTTTTCACCTGAACGTATGTTTCCCCCAATTACCTTAGCATATGTTTGCAATTACTCTGCTGGGTAAGACAGTAGAATGACACCCCTGAACTCGCAGACAGTAAATGCATGACCTTTGTGAACCTGTCTGGGCTTAGCCATGTATTTCATGGGGGGTCACAATTGCTGGGTAATGGAATCAGTGACCTTCTAAGCTGATGATCTTAATGAGCTGCTTACCTGCCTGTCCAAGCTTCCAGAGGACCCACTGGGGAGAAATGCTGTTCATCCTTCAGCCGCAATACGGGGAAACAATGCCAGCTCAGGGTCCGGGTGAGTACAGTGACCACTGATGTTACCAAGAGATAAATTTTTTCAAGGAAAAGAGCCAAGAATGCAGATTTCTTTGACTTAGACATCAGAGAAAAGTAAGCTCTTAAAGTTCTGTTGTGCTCCCGCTTTTCTCATTCTGTGTGCGGTGGCGATAAGCTAGCATTTGTACAGGTAGTGAAGCCATATTTTTCCCTGTCCATGCTTTTCTTTCCCTCTATCTCAAAATCCAGTGGCAAATTTCCATCCAAAACTCTGTAGGACTGACCTAGTGCCCAGTGGATGAGCAGGATGAGGTCTCACTGACCTGTGAGACCTCAACTCCGCTGTTCACTGCATTTTTCCATTTCTTTTAACTTCTTTGCAGACCTCCGTGGGTTTTGAGAAACCCCAGTTCTGCTGCTCTTTTGGGATCATTTTACCATGATCTGAGTCAAGTTTCATCATCAGTGCTGTTGTGTTACCCTGTGGTAACAGCTGATACTACATGCAAACAAAACTAAATCTCAATTTAGCAGCTTGAGAGCTTCTGGTTGAACTGTGGTTAGATAAGGTGAAACCTTCGTATTGGTCCTTCCTCACTATATGTAAGTGCAGATATAAGGTTGTGAGTTTTCCTTGCATATAAGAAATAGAAACAAAGGGTCTTGTCCTCAGCTGGAGTACATGAGCTGTGCTGCTGAAATGAAGACTTTATACCAGCTGAGCATGTGACCTCCTGTGACAACGGCTCTTCTCTCTCCTATTGTCACCAGGTAACAAAAGGGATGACTCCTCTAGAAAGAAGATAGATTGCCTTTTCTCCTCCTCTAGCACCAGCCTAATGAAAAATGTGCTGCTGCTTTTACTGTGAGGTGGAGGGGAGCTCCTCTGGTGCAAAATGGCAGCTTTGCTTTTCCTGCTTCTTGACAAACTTACAGCTTCCTCAGGCAAGATCCTCAACCTTACTCAAGTATTTGTCTCCCAATTTAAAGGACCGAAACAGTACAAAGAGGCCAGAGGTCCACACCCAGATGAAATAAAACTTGGGCTCTTTAAACTTCTGGGTTATTTTCCTGCAGATAGCTTGGATTCTCTCACATATGTCCATGAACATCTCACAATCTTCAACTCGCTGCTTCAGTAGATCCTTGCAAGGTAGGGTCAAAGTAATCCATTTAACACATTAGAGATGGATACACCAAGAGTCCAAACAATTTGCCAGAGGTTATCAGAGCATGTGGTAGAGCTGCTGAGTTAGTGTTCTGTCCACTCCTCCTTCCTCCCATTCTGTTTTGGTCCTTTACAGTTTCAGCTAATGGGCCAGTCATTCACAAGTTCCATTAGCCAAAACAGACTGTGCAAGCTTGGGCCGGTCACTTACTTTGTGCACTGGAGCGGTTGTTTGAGGGATTCAGACATTGAACTCACAGACAGAATCTTGATCCTGTTTCCCGCTGCCTGATGTGTTCCCAGTGTTATTCACACCCCACCGTCCTCAGGTTACATCTCTGTGAAACTGAAATAACATTTTCCTGAGTCTCACTAGTAGCAGAGCAGGAAGTTATTATTGCATCAGAATGGCTTGGATGACAAGTGTTGCAGAAAAACTCAACAATTAAAACAGTAAGTAATGCCTCTCATCATTCACCCTTCCCTTCTGCTTCACAACAGTTCTGAAATTGTCGTCTCTACTCTCTTTTCATAGGAAAGATTTCATCATGGTAGAAAAGAAGCCACCATCCTATTACATCAACAACAATACTCCCACTGTGCTTTATATTGGAGATAAAAAGCAGCATCTTATAAACAGGGATTATAAAATAAACATCTCTGTCTTGGAGATAGGCTGTTTTACTGTGAATAAATGTCACAATCATTGTAGGGATAATCAGACATCAGAGTACATCTTTCTAATTAGAATTTCAGCTTTATGTATCACCACTGTATTCTGTTGTCTTGTAAATTAATGGCACCATGCCAGCATGTTCAAGAGATGGAGCTATAGTTGACGCCACACATTAGTAACAGCAATTCTTTTTGCTACGTTTTAATAAATATCACTGTTTTGGGTAAAAGCTCAGGCTGACAAACCCCAGGATATTTGGGACCAGCTCCAGCTCCTATTAAGTTCAATGGAAAGGTTCTTACTGACCCTGTTGAGTATTGATTGCTGTAAAATCAGAATAGGTTGTTATGACAAGTGCAAAGGCTGATCTTGTAACCAGCAGCTCGATCTTTTGTTCGAGGCACTGAGTGTTCGTCGCCATACTTTTTGCTATACAGCAAGCCTAAATAAAGCGAAATAAAAATATGCTTCCCAGTAGGAAAGCTGAGCAACCACTGAAAGAAAGTGATCAAAGAGAAAAAAAGATGTGACGGAAGGAATGCAGCTGGGAAGGATTCTCAGATACCCCAACCTTTATTTCCTTTCTATGGTGAGATTTCTTGTTACATGCCTAAAAGCTTCCAAAAAAGCACCAGGGCTGGGCTTGTACCAAGGGCATGAGGTCATTGGTCTGGACAAATCCTTCAGTTGTTCAGTGGTAGAGAGGTTTCTGTACAGACCCATTCTTCTAGCTGAAGTCCTCATCCTAGTCCTTGATCTACACCCTTCCAAAGACTTAATTTCCCCTTTCTGGATGCTGAAAAGGCCCCTTCAAGAGGCATTTTACTGGGAAACATACCCGGGTAATGATGTAATGATTTACTACTATGAAGGGCTGGTTTATGGAAAATAATATCAGAGCTGTTTTGAATCGTAAGTGTAGAAATAATGACACAAAATGTATGTGTAGATAGGACTGTTCTTCATGCACTGCTTGGAGCGCTATGAGCAGACGTAAAGCTTAATCGTTTCCACTTTGGCTGGAACTGAATTGCCCCTTTGAAAGCAATAGCAGGCTCTGCATCAGGGAAGGCTGACTTAGCCAGCCCACCAGGCTTGCCATCTAGACAAGCTGGAAGAACAGTTTTTGGAAGCAGACATCTTACTCTTTCCAGTTCTGTTATAACCCACACAAGTGTTGGCATGGCTCATTCCATCCCACCCCTCAGTTCTTCCAGGTAGGAAATGTAATTTCCTCCTGTTTTAAAATTTGCAGCCTTGTGTTTGGGCATTTGGTTTTCTTTAGCAAAATCTTGGCTTCCTTCATTTAGCTGACTACTGGCTAAAAGAAATCCATATCTAACTTCCTTCTGAAAAGGTCGTAAACAACTGATTGTGAGAAGCTGGGAGGACATGCCAGGGCCTGAAACACCCTGAAATTGCCCCGTTCCTGTACTTTTTTGAATGATCTGTCATCGGTCAATGTAAAAGCTGGGATGTAGATGTGTTTTGGTCTACCTGATGCTTGTGTTTCATGACAAAATTGGAGAGGGAGGGAAAAGTTGAGACTACTGGGTAACAGTCCAGCATACTAGTGCAGTTGTAGCATATTTGAAGTTGTATTTGTCTATTTGTCAGGGTAACAGGAAGCAGAAAGGATATTAATTCAGGACCCCTTTCAGCAGTGAGAAGCAAGCCAACGCTCTTTTGCTGCTATGCCAGAAGGGCAGGGAAACAGCAGCATTCATCCCATTGAACCAGCCACCAAGTTCCATGTCTCAAGGATGCCATCACAGCTGACTGTAACTCCCTTCCTCTTCATGGTAAGTGGCCATTTCCATACTAAAGTGCAGTCTTAAGGAATAAAAGGCAGATCCTAGATTATTCTGCAGTCAAAAAGGGAAATAGAGGGCATGTTCCACTGGAAGAGAAAGAATTTGATCTTGCACAAAGCAGAGCAACCTCAAAGCTAACTCTTTCCCATCAGAATACGCCTTCCAAAAGAGCTGGCATGCGATAGCTACACGAATCTCCTGCAGGCTTTAGACTGATTACTGCATCAGCCCCACACAATTACATTCTCTTCAGTGGTGTCAGTCCTGATAAACATTGTCAGTTTTCAAGATTCTAGTTTTTCTATTGTTGAACTAGGCTTTTGCAGTGCACTTCACAGGGGCAGGATTAGACCCCGAAGGAGGGAAAGGCTGAAAAGATAGCCTTTTTTCTTTGTTGACATGTCTTTCCTTTTTTTTCCTGGCAAATGGTTGAGTGTTTTCTATGTGATTTGTACAG